GAGAGAGAGAGAGAGAGAGTAGAGCTCGAGCAAACCCGGGCCTCACACTCTCCCAGGTGAGCGGATCCTACGGTGCTGCGCCCAAACGGGGGCCAGCACGCGAGTCCCCGTATCACGCACCAGGCTTCAGATTCAGCACCCTCTACCCAAACCACTGCCTGTGGTGCGCAAGTGCTTAGGTATTTATGGGCACCACAGAAGCCCTAGGATGTTAGTCGAGTAATTATGGTTGGGGCTTGGGCTTCACCCATTAGGCGGCTTAAAGAGTCAGGAGGAATCTTGTACCCGCAGAGGTGGGAGCTGGACTTGCGTCAGCTGCGGCAACATCAACTGGCCTCTTCGAACGGCATGCAACCGCTGAACCTCGACGAAAGCATAGATGGTATAGGGGCCCTGAAGGTTGGAATAGGGTGTTAACATAGGCCGAACTTCTGCAGCTAAGAGCGGCACTTCTCTCCGACACTTGAAAATTTGGGTAGAGAGACGGGGTTTGATACGAACTTCAGCCGATGCTAATGATGCTCGCTCTGTGGTCTGTGGCTCGCTAAAACGACTGCGGTCGGGAGAGGGGGGGCCAATAGGCCGGGGGACTTCAACAGTCCCTTCAAGAAGAAAGGGCAGAGAGAGAGAGAGAGAGAGATGCGGGCAAGGGGAGCTTCTCCTTGTCCACAGCCCTGACGAAAGAAGGAGAGATGCGTTTCAGTACTGCCAGACTTTGGGCACCACACTTGCAGAGCTCGCTTCAAGAGCCGGGAGCAGTGTCAGTCTCACGAAGTGCGGCCTGTGGATTGGATGTCTAGTGACCGCCTTCCGTGGGTGTGGTAGGTTTGTTTGCTTCGGTTTCAGTGCTGACCAGTGGCCGTTAGACTCGACCCGCTGCACAATCGCTGCACAGTGGCGAATGGCAGCATCCGCGAGGGAGTTTAGGCAAGTCAACGAATTCCGGCTACGCAAGCTCTTTGTCATCTCTGCAACCATCACTGCATCGTGCTGGTGCTGGGCAATGGCGTGGGTTCGACGGTTCGGAGATTGCAGACTTCTCCTTCTGCAAGCTTGCTTCCCCTGCTGTTGGTTCATTCAAATTTCACGGAGATGGACAGAGTGCAAGCAAGCGAGAGTTTTAAAAGAAGTCTCCGGTAGAGAAGCAATTTCCCGCTATAACGCTCTCTCCGCAGTTCGCTGATGGCTGGACCGAATTGCTGCAATTTCTTTGGGTTCACAGGCCTGGACAGAGGGTTGACAGTTCCCGCTGATGCTGATGATGCGCGCCAGCGGCTCCAATGAGGGGTCGAACTGCTGCACCGGCTGTGGGTGTTAAGTCGATTCGAGAGAGAGACAGTTTTAGAAACAATTCCGGCTGAAGCTAATGATGCTGGCTCTGTGGTTTGCTGAATCTGTCGTGGCGTTTACAACGTGTTGCCGCTGATGCTGCTGATGCCTGTCCTGCAAAAATTCCAGCTGATGCTGATCATCTGGCTCTGTCCGCCCAATGGAACTGCCGCACCTGCTGTGGGCAAAGACCCGAAGATACGAGAGAAAGCATTTACAGAATTCGAGCTGATGCTGATGATGCTGGCTCTGCGTTTTGCTGCACCGGCCAATGAGTGGGTCGAATTGCTTGCAGTTACTGGTGGAGAGCGGTGAAAATACTCCAGCTGATGCTGATGTGTGCTGGATCCGCCCAATCCGTGAGCCAAACTGCTGCACCAGCTGTGGGTTGCAAATGATTCGGCTCGCTGAATCAATGAAGGTTAATAGACCCGGAGATGCGAGAGAAGTGTAAACAGATTTCGAGCTGATGCTGATGATGCTGTCTTTGCGGTTAGCTGCATCTCGTTCAATGATTGGGTCGAATCGCTGCAAGGTGCATGAAGAATTGCAGCCTGCTGTGGTTCCTTGAGGAGAGTTGGAACAACACTTCAAGCTGATGCTGATGATGCTCGCTCCGCGGTTCGCTGAATTCTGCGGCTTGGTCGAAGTGTTGCACCTGTGTCCAGTCATGTCGAATTGTTGCCATGACTGCAGGTTCAAAGGTGGAGCGTCTACAACGGATTTCAGCTCATGCTGGTGCTGCTGCACTTGCTTTGAGTTCAATGGGTGGCTGCTGATGCTGGCTCTGCGGGGGTTTGTGAATTGCTGACCTGCTTTGGGTTCAAAGCCCAAGGGATGTGAGTCTCGCGAGTGAAAGCTTAAAGCGTCTTCTTACAGTTGATTTTGATGATGCTTGATCCGCGGCTCGCTGAATCCATGCAATGACTGGGTCGAACGAGCTGCTTCACCTGCTCTGATGCTGGGGAGATGGGCGAGGATTCCTTCTGATGCTGATGCGGGCCCTGGCATTCGCTGAATCCGCCTAGCGAGTGGGTTGAACTGCTGCACCTGCTGTGCATTCAAGGCCAACTTTTTCCTGGTGTTGCTGATGATGCTGGCTCTGCTGGGTTTTGCTGACTGGGTCGAATTTCTGCGATGGGAGATGGGAGAGAGAGCGTTTAAAAGACTTCCAGCTGATGCTGATGATGCTCGCTTTGCGTCTTGCTGCACCGGCCACTGAGTGTGTCAAATTGCTGCAGTTACTAGTGGAGAGCGGTTACACAAAAATCAGCTGATGCTGATGTGTGCTGATTCCGCCCAATCAGTGAGTCGAACTGCTGCACCAACTGTGGGTTGCAAATGATTCCCCGCTGATGCTGATGATGCTTGGTCTGCGGCTCGCTGAATCAATGAGAGGTTCATAGACGCAGGTGCAGCAGCATCACCAGCATGAGCTGGAATCCCTTTTGGACGATTCGACATGACTGGACACAGGTGCAACAATTCGCCCAGCCGCAGACGAGGCCTCATCAGCATCAGCTTGAATTGTTGTTGCAACTCTCCTCATTTAACCAACAGCAGGCTGCAGTTCTTTATGCACCTCGCAACGATTCGACCCAATCATTGAACGAGATTCAGCCAACCGCAGAGCCAGCATCATCAGCATCAGCTCGGAATGTGTTTGCACTTTCAAGGGGTGGGGAGATGGGAGGGGGATCAACAAGATTCGAGCTGATGCTGCTGATGCTGGCTCTGCGGGGGTTTGCGAATTGCTGACCCGCTTCGGGTTCAATGCCCAAGAGATGTGAGTTTCGCGGCTCGCTGAATCCATGCAATGACTGGGTGGGGAGATGGGCGAGGTTGCCTTCTGATGCTGATGCACGCCTTGGCACTCGCTGAATCCATCTGAATCCGCCTAGCGAGTGGGTTGAACTGCTGCACCTGCTGTGCATTCAAGGCCAACGTTTTCCAGCTGTTGCTGATGATGCTGGCTCTGCTGGGTTTGCTGACTGGGTCGAATTTCTGCGATGGGAGATGGGAGAGAGAGCGTTTGAAAGACTTCCAGCTGATGCTGATGATGCTCGCTTTGCGTTTTGCTGCACCGGGCAATGAGTGTGTCAAATTGCTGAAGTTACTGGTGGAGCGCTGATAGAGCAGCTGATGCTGATGTTTCCTGAATCCCCCTAATGAATGAGTCGAACTGCTGCACCAACTGTGGGTCGCAAATGATTCCCAGCTGATGCTGAGGATGCTTGGTCTTCGGCCTCGCTGAATCAATGAGAGGTTCATGTACCCGAAGATGGGAGAAAGACCATATTTCTTCGAGCTGATGCTGATGATGCTGGCTCTGCGGTCAGCTGAATCTCGTTCAATGATTGGGTCGAATCGCTGCAAGGTGCATGAAGAATTGCAGCCTGCTGTGGTTCATTGAGGAGAGTTGGAACAACAATTCACGCTGATGCTAATGATGCTCGCTCCGCGGTTCGCTGAATTCGCTCACAGCTGATGCCGATTATGCCTCGTCTGCGGCTGGGTCGAAGTGTTGCACCTGTGTCCAGTCATGTCGAATTGTTGCCATGACTGCGGGTTCAATGGTGGAGAGTCTGAAAAATATTCCAGCTCATGCTGGTCATGCTGCTGCACCTGCTTTGAGTTCAAGGGGTCCGGAGCAAGATTCCAGCTGATGCTGATGCTGGCTCTGGAGATTTGCGAACTGCTGACCTGCTTCGGGTTCAAAGCCCAAGGGATGTGCGTCGCGCGAGTGAAAGCTTAAAGCGTCGGCTTACAGCTGGTCTTGATGATGCTTGATCCGCGGCTCGTTGAATCCACGCAATGACTGGGTCGAACGAGCTGCTTCACCTGCTCTGATGCTGTGGGTTCGAAGACCCGGAGACCGGAGATGGGCGAAAAAGGTTTCCTTCTGATGCTAATGCGGGCCCTGGCATTCGCTGAATCCGCGCAGCGAGTAGGTTGAATTGCTGCACAAGCTTTGCGTTCAAGGTCAACGTTTTCCAGCTGTTGCTGATGATGCTGGCTCTGCTGGGTTTGCTGACTGGGTCGAATTTCTGCGATGGGAGATGGGAGAGAGAGCGTTTAAAAGACTTCCAGCTGATGCTGATGATGCTCGCTCTGCGTTTTGCTGCACGGCCACTGAGTGTGTCAAATTGCTGCAGTTACTAGTGGAGAGCGGTTAAACAAAAATCAGCTGATGCTGATGTGTGCTGATTCCGCCCAATCAGTGAGTCGAACTGCTGCACCAATTGTGGGTTGCAAATGATTCCCCGCTGATGCTGATGATGCTTGGTCTGCGGCTCGCTGAATCAATAAGAGGTTCATAGACCCGGTGATGCGCGAGAAAGTGTAAACACATTCCGAGCTGATGCTGATGATGCTGGCTCTGCGGTTGGCTGAATCTCGTTCAATGATTGGATCGAATCGTTGCGAGGTGCATAAAGAACTGCAGCCTGCTGTTGGTTAAATGAGGAGAGTTGCAACAACAATTCAAGCTGATGCTGATGATGCCTCGTCTGCGGCTGGGTGGAAGTGTTGCACCTGTGTCCAGTCATGTCGAATTGTTGCCATGACTGCGGGTTCAAAGGTGGAGCGTCCAAAAAGGATTCCAGCTCACGCTGGTGATGCTGCTGCACCTGCTTTGAGTTCAGGGGGTGGGGAGATGGGAGGGAGATCAACAAGATTCCAGCTGATGCTGCTGATGCTGGCTCTGCGGGGGTTTGCGAAATGCTGACCTGCTTCGGGTTCAAAGCCCAAGGGATGCGGGAGTGAAAGCTTAAAGCGTCATCTTACGGTTGATTTTGATGATGCTTGATCCGCGGCTCGCTGAATCCACGCAATGACTGGTCGAACGAGCTGCTTCACCTGCTCTGATGCTGGGGAGATGGGCGAAAAAGGATTCCTTCTGATGCTGGTGCGGGCCCTGGCATTCGTTGAATCCGCCCAGCGAGTGGGTTGAACTGCTGCACCTGCTGTGCATTCAAGGCCAACGTTTTCCAGCTGTTGCTGATGATGCTGGCTCTTTTGGGTTTGCTGACTGGGTCGAATTGCTGCAATGGTTGCTGCCGGTTCCGCGGTTCGAAGGAGATGGGAGAGAGCGTTTAAAAGACTTCCAGCTGATGCTGATGATGATCGCTCTGCGTTTTGCTGCACCGGCTGATGGTGATGTGTGCTGATTCCGCCCAATGAGTGAGTCGAAGTGCTGCACCGACTGTGGGTTGCAAATTATTTCCAGCTGATGCTGATGATGCTTGGTCTGCGGCTCGCTGAATCAATGCGAGGTTCATAGACCCGGAGATGCGCGAGAAAGTGTAAATACATTCCGAGCTGATGCTGATGATGCTGGCTCTGCGGTTAGTTGAATCTCGTTCAATGATTGGGTCGAATCGTTGCGAGGTGCATAGAGAACTGCAGCCTGCTGTGGCTGATTGAGGAGAGTTGGAACAACAATTCAAGCTGATGCTGATGATGCTCGCGGTTCGCTGAATTCGCTCACAGCTGATGCCGATTATGCCTCGTCTGCGGCTGGGTCGAAGTGTTGCACCTGTGTCCAGTCACGTCGAATTGTTGCCATGACTGCGGGTTCAATGGTGGAGAGTCTGAAAAATATTCCAGCTCATGCTGGTCATGCTGCTGCACCTGCTTTAAGTGCAAGGGGTCCGGAGATGGGAGGGGGATCAACAAGATTCCAGCTGATGCTGATGCTGGCTCTGGAGATTTGCGAACTGCTGACCTGCTTTGGGTTCCAAGCCCAAGGGATGTGCGTCTCGCGAGTGAAAGCTTAAAGCATCTTCTTACAGTTGATTTTGATGATGCTTGATTCCACGCAATGACTGGGTCGAGCGAGCTGCTTCACCTGCTCTGATGCTGGGGAGATGGGCTGAATCCGCCCAGCGAGTGGGTTGAACTGCTGCACCTGCTGTGCATTCAAGGCCAACGTTTAGCAGTTGTTGGTGATGATGCTGGCTCTGTTGGGTTTGCCGACTGGGTCGAATTGCTGCAATGGTTGCTGCCGCTTCCGCGGTTCGCTGGAGATGGGAGAGAGAGCGTTTAAAAGACTTCCAGCTGATGCTGATGATGCACCAGCCTTGAGGTTCGCTGAAGTCGTTTTTACTGTCATGAGACCGAGAGTTATGATGCTTGGACTGCGGCCTCGCTGATATGCAAGAGGGCAGTATAGCTGCCTTCTGACTTCCTCTGCAGTAGACTTCGCTTGCCGCCCCATATCTGAAGCCCTGCTTTGTTCGTTTCTAGCTGCTGCCTTCCGTGAATTCTGAGCTTGTTGCTTGTGTCGGGTATTCACCCAGCTCGACATGACCTCCAGCAGCCTCAGGCAAGCTTCCAAGACAGCAGGCCCAGGCGGCTTGGGCACCGTTGATCCCTGTTGAGCGTTTGAGAGCTTAGCTGGCTGAACTTCAACGCTGTACGTCGATAGCTAGTCGATAAGTTCGGAACCGCTTGCCAAGCCGAGTCGCACGGTACTCGTAGCGGTCGTAGCGCTGATGTCACCGATCAGCAGGTTCAGGGCTGGCTTTGGGGTCACGGCTCGCTTGTCTCCGAGTCCCATGGGCTGTTAGACGCCTGGGATGCAGGCGACGATGCCGGGCTCCTTCGGTGGCTTCCAGGGTCTGGTCAATATGGCCAACATCCAGGCCCAGTTTGGGATTAAAAAAATTGAAAAGGGGAGCTTTCCGCGTGCGCTTACGAGCCATGTGGGATTCCTAGGGCCGTTAAAAATTCAAACCTTCAAATGTTCACAGGTGATGCATGCGCGGTCTCAGAACCTACAGGGCTGGGCGGTGTCGTCTGCATTTCTTCGTTTCATGGCCAGTAGCAACTGACACCATGCTTACACCAGACATGCTCCGGAAAACCCATGACTTCTTCAAGCTCTCATTCCGGCACGTACGTTTCCCAGGCCCGGCCCCGAGACTTCAGCTCTGGTCCATGCCATAAACACCTGCTGCGTCGGAGATTGAACTATCACCGATAGATTACTCTTTCAGTGGTCCTGCCTGAATCCTAGATCTCAGCATCCCTCGTGACGAGTGGCACCCATGGCGATTTCGACATCTTTCTTTAGGTGGCGATAGGACGACCTTTACTTCCCAAGCCCTGTGGGGTCTTGGCATAGTCGAAGAGCGCATGCAAAAGAGCTATCTAGAATCTAGCTGGATCCTTTGTTACAAAAGACCTCCAGATTGCACGTTCCGGGCCTTTAAACTTTAAGCCCCAGGACAAAGTATCAGTTTTACCATGTGCTCCACAAGCCGGAGACCCGATAACGCGCCCGCTAGCTTGCCAGTGCGGAAGGGCATAAGCCCCAAAGCAGACATGTTCAAGAGTGGTCTGGATTCAGTGGTTTTGGCCCGCGTGGATTTGGTTTCATTTCATGTTTTCCAGGGGATGAGATTTAATGTAGCTTTACTATAGGATGTCTGGGCCTGGGGAACGCTCTCTGCACACGACAACCCGGTGCGGGAGCCGTAAGGACTTGAACCAAGATTCCTTCCAAAGTTCGTGTTCATTGAGAGTTGCGTGCGCTTTGCTTGGGTGCCTGGTAGGTGCTCTACGGTACCAGAGCGGGCCCGGGAACAGCATCCAAGAACCATACGGATTCGGTTGACGGTTCAACCGTTAACCGTCTAGTCAATTACATATTTCCTCCTAAGCTCCTAGTCGCAACGCGCCCAAAAGAGGGCAATAAGACTAGTCTGCACCGCATGGAAAGCCATGGTGAAACCGCTGTGGCATGCATCTCTACAAACCCAGAACCGCGACAAGTCGAACCAGCACCAGGCTATGCACATGCCGGGTGTGATGGGTATGGGAGCCCCCCAGAACATGTACGTGCCAGCGCCACGGCCTTGAAAACACATGTGGGCAGCTCCCCCAGGAGTCCTGAAGAGAACGCAGCACTCGCCCTGAAGGGACCCTAAAGTAGATAACTTGGCGTCTCCAGCCATTCTACATCATGGCTTTCAGTATTTCAAGAGGCGCACTTGCCAGTTTCAGGGGACTTCGGCCCATCTTTCGAGGGCAGCTTTCTTGAAGGCTTTGGGGTGTTGTCAGGTTTAGGGTTTTGGGGTTTTTGCACAAGTCCTGATGCAGAAAAGGCTTTCTGGCCCCAGCAAATCAGGGAGCTTTCTGCATCTGGGGCGCGACGGTGCTGAGGTGCCTTCCATCCGTTGACGTTAGGTACTCTGGGACGCTAGGTACCTCCTAAACGGTTGACTGTTTGTTATCAGTTGGGTTTCATGTCTCTTGCTTTTTGAGGGTCATATGTCGTGTCAATGGCAGGCAGCCCATCTCTAGCTACTTAATCTACAGCTCTGCTCTATTCGGAATTATCAGTGTAATTACCTTCGGTCAGCACTCTGCGGAATGCAGAAGGTAGCTGCTGGCAAAGGTTTGAATGCAAACGTGGCAGACGAGGCGTGCATGCAACAATTCAGAAACGTGTCAACTGTGCTAATTTAACTGCATTTGCGGAAGACCACAGAACCAGGGTGAACCAGTAAACAATAGTGGCAAAAAATATCAACAGTTTTTAGGTTTGCATGTGTAGAGAGTAAGTCAGAGAGCGAGAGCACGATGTCCAATGCTGTCAGGAGGCAACGTATATGCATGGATCTAAGGAGGAGCATCACCGCACCTTCAATGAAGCAGCGCTTGCTGTCCCAGCAACACAACTCCACCAAAGAGAGTCTAGCTAGAGCCTTCTATGCGCTTCGGCATCTAATCTGTACTCTCCTGGTCGATCAGCAAGTAAGGCTGCACCGATGCCTATGGGCACATCAATGGCAGCGAACATGGCTGCAAACATGGCCGCGGCGAACATGTCCACAAAAGCCGAGCCTGTGGACGACAACGGAAACGTCACTGGTGTGACTGTGGCCGCACCCTGGCACCCCTGCCTCTTGAGAAACAGAGCCCATTCCCTGGAACCACCGGGCTTGCAATATCACACACAGCCATGGAAGCCGTCCAGCACAAGATTAATTTCTCACAGGCAAGCAGAAACCGGCCGATCCCTCCAGCCCCCCAGGTGAACGGAGGTCCTTCTGTGATGCTTCGCCCGAGCCTAGCTCCACCACCGATTCCTTCGATGGCGGGGGCGGCGCCTGCGCATCCCGCCGCCCCGGTGGCTCTGACATACTTGCAGAAGAGAAACTTGTTGTCTCTCCAAACGATGCTAAGCTTCTTCGCATCATGAAAGTTGGGGCTGTAGGTGAACATAATGATACTGGATAATGCCGTGAGTCATGATGTTGTCGTACATGCGAACTTCAGCGGGCTGCGATATATGAGCTTCTATGAACTTCTATGCGTTATGTGGTGCTCCGTCGTGTATGCCCTGTTGTCACGCTACGATCTGTTTATCTGAACCTATAGTTGCTCTAGTTCTTGCCATTTTGTATAGTTTTCTGAGTTTCCTTGCCTTCGTTTTTGCATGCACGTCTGAAAATGTGTTGGTTGCAGTATTTGTACGGAAATGCTTCAGATGCGTGCGACAATTCGACGAGTGCCATGTCAAGTAAGACAAGCAAACAAGTCAGCCAACTCAACCGAAGCATACACCGGAATCCCTACGGAGTCCCCACAAGCTCGACGGTTCTCGCAGCGAGCAGCGGCAGTTTCTGGAGTGAAAAGATTCAACCCCCTTCAGGTGTGGAAGCAGGGTGATTGGATGTGTCCGGTGTGCAACAACCACAACTTCGGGGACAAGTCGCACTGCAACAGGCAACAGGATCTGATACACATCGTTTCAGGAGGAGTGTTTTTGGTAAGTTCGCCAGGTCTTCCCTACCCAGTGATTCCTGTTGAAGTCTTGCTGCTCTGTGGTTTGCAAAAATTCCTGTTTCCTGTGAGATGTCACGAGATTCCAGCTGTGATTCCCCGGTCGGCCCTCAGCATTCAGGCTTTGTCTAGGGTTCGGTTGTTTGATCTCTACGTTGTCAAAATTATGGTCCCTTTTGGGGTACCCTAAACAATAGGTGCCGTATTATAGTAAGGACCCAAAAAGGGACCATAATTTTGACAACCACTCACATGGCCCCTAAACCCCAAACCCGAAACTGGACAAGAGAACCTTCAATCGGTATCACGTCGACCTGCGACTATGGATCCTCGCCTGGCTTGTCCGAGTTGTGAGAGCGTAAACCCGAAACTACTGGGAGGATCTTGGGACTTAGTAAGCAGGGTTATAAGTACCCTAATTGGGGTTGTAAGTATAGTCAGTTACCTTGTTTATAACCTCAGTTACTAAGTCCCATGATCCTATTTAAGTAGGCCAGTAGGGTTATAAGTACCCTAATTGGGGTTATAAGTATAGTTACCTTGTTGGTTACTACGTCCCGTGATCCTTTAAGTAGAGTCCTAGAGCCGGTCCCCCGGAGGTGTGGAATCCCGAAAGAGACGCGGATCTCGGACTTTGGCCTCCGAGAGGGCGACTGGAATCTTGCATCGGATCGGTTTGGAGGTGTAGGGGTTTCGCGGTGTATGGTGCCAAAAAAGGACATGAGGACCATCCCTCTTCCAACAGGTACTAATAGTAGGGTTCCCGAGTGAGGTAGTGCTCCCGGAGATGCGATGCCAAAATTAGGAAGATGCATGCAGTGAGGGGTTTAGGATTCAGGATTTACCCTTCAGGATGTCGGTCATGGGCAGGACGGTTTTGAGACTTTCGCAAACTTGGAACCTCACACCAGGAGGATGCTTGTAGTCATTCAGGTTGCCGTCAGTCCTTTTGCAGACCCGTTCGTTTTTGCAAGACGTACAGAATCTTGGCCCTGAACTCGGAACCCTAGCGAGTACATTGGTTAAAATCACCCTGGAGCCCTTTTGTTAGGATCTGCCTCGTCTGCGCAAACCACAACTTTGCGAGCAAGACCAATTGCAACAAGTGCGGCTCGGTGCTGAAGTATTCATACTATGTATTACTATAGTATACTATACACGCAAGGCTAAGTTCTGCATCCTGCATCCTATGCCCTATACACTATATATTATACTCGATGATGCATACTATATACCATGTCCGACATTATGCGATACTACGTTACACTAAAATTACTATACGGTTCTACTATAAAACTATACGTGCTGTCCGACGCTATATTCTGCTTCACTGTGCCAAAAGGTCGAATCGTAGATGTCGAACACGTCTTGGGCAGAGCCCCGTGTCTTGAGATCCGTGCGAACTACGACCAGCGCATGATTACTCCTTTTCGCCCTGTGCTTCTACTGTGCTTCTACAAACGGGCTTAGGTAACTAGTATACTATCGCCCGCTCGTAGATACTTGTGCTAATTACAATGTGACTGGACGCCATGTGAGGGTTTTGTTGTGACACTTACGCTTCTAGTCAGTAACGAGCACACCAAGCACTGCGAGCAGATTAAGTTGTGCTGAAACTGATGCCAGCGCATTGAAAAGCAGGCAGGTTCTGTTGCAAGAGCACACAGTCACACACATACTCTGAGCATTTCCTGGCTGTGGCGGCGATGCCAACCCACAGCTACGTGGAACCTGGTCCCCAGTTTAAGCACACATCGATCTACGTCAATCCGGCAGGGACGGGCAGGTATTGTGGTTAGATGTATAAATTATTATTGACGTTGTCGTAGCGCGCACACTTATAGGCGCGGATCGTCATTCTTGTTACTTGCACGGCCCCCAGTGCGAGGTCACGCTGAGAAAGAGAATGCACCCATGATACATCAGGTGGGCAGGGTGCAGAACCTTCCAATTCTGCAGGATCTGAAGATGTTTGCGTTTGGTGCTCGTGCAGTCGTGTCGAGCTTGGTTTCTCCACGTGTGCTTGTAATTCTGGTTCAGTCCATAGAGGCAACTCGTCAGTGATAATTACTGTGACATCTTCACGCGAAAGAACTTTTGTCTGATCACGTTGGAGCATATTGGACCGCACCGTGAGGGGAAGAGCTTGAAACCACCTGAAGATTTTGCATTTGTTTCAAGACCAGCTGCCGGATCCTAAAGTTGAAGGCCCAAACGAGATGTCTTTGATGCTAGGATTCCGATGTAATCCACTTTCAGGGAAAATTTCACTAACAGCAAGGATCCCTCGAACCGAATCATGCCCGGGCCATGCTTCGGTCTTGAGAGATGTGGAGCTGTTGCCAGATAAGCGCTGGAGCGCGGAACAGGGCGACGACGAGACAACAAAATGAGCTGCATGGCAGCCACTAGCGTCGGGTTTGTGTTGAACATGTTTCAGCTTTGAGTTGGAGTGAGATGTCGCGTGAGGATGGGGTTCGGGGAGGATTACGCTTTCCCCATGCTTGGACGGCCAAGGATGCGAGAAGGCGATTGGATCTGCCAATATTGCCGCAACCACAACTACTCGCGGAGGCCTGCCCGAAAGACGGCCAAGTGCTGTAGCAACATGTGAGGCGGGTCGATGGGTCGGTTAGGCCTGGGACAGTTGCAGGGTCGACGAAACCTGGGGCTAGTAGCGAGCACCTTCGGAATAATGGCATCTCTCCAAGCCTCCTACGGCTTTGGATTTATTCCCTAAGCTCGCTGTCGGCAGGATGGAGTGCAACCGCTGCAAGCAGCCGAAGACCTGACGACCTGGGGCTATCGGTCATAAAGATAGGGAGGGCCAGAGCTTGTAGAGATTAGGATCAGGGAGTCCTAATATTAATTATTGGGTTGTAAAGATTATATATAGGGGGTCCTAATAGTGTTGGTCTTGCTACTTGGGGTTCTAGATTGGGGGTGCTTTTATGACTGAAGACTTCTGGGTTTCCACGTACGTCAAAGGTTGAGCTAAGGGCCCAAACCCGCAAAGGGGTAGTTCTCTAAATTAGGATCCTTATGTAAGGGTGCCTTGAGAAGTTACACGTTATGCAAATATGAGACAGGGCCACTCACCACCACAAATGCGCGCAGAACTATGAAGTTATGAGCAAGTGTGCAGGCAAGCACGACTTGTTTCTGGCTTAGCAGTTTTATACGCAGATTCGTACGTCCCCGACGTCAGCAGCACCACACTCCCCCCCGCAAGAAGGAAACCTTCCGGCCGAAGCACCAAGTAACCCTCAGACGTGCGACCGAAGCAAGGCAGCAATAACTTCGCTGCATCTCCGGACCCTAGACCAATGTCATGAACATGCCGGCCAGTTGTCTAAGGGGTGGATCCGTGCCAGCAGCAGACCAAGGAATTAGCTATTCAACCGCCGCGGGATAACCTCAAAACAACATGGAATCGCCGACAGACTCTCAAGTGCCGATGGAAGAGAGCGATGCCAATCCGATGAAAACGGCAGGGTTCCCAAAGCAGCTGCAACTGCAAAACTGAAAAGCTGTGACGCGTGACCCTTCGACCGGTGCCTTCGGACCTACTCCTAACAACAACGACGACGAAGACGACAACAAGGACGTGGGAAAGCTGTCGCAGTTACGAGTTATGAAAATCGGGCTGTTTATGGCTTCAGGATGCTGATTTTTGGGGGGTTCGAGTTGGTAGGAGAGAAGGGATATAACCGAAGAAGTGCAGGGGCGTGTTGGGCACGTCATACATCTCCAGTTCCGGGTGGGCGAGGCCTGGCTTTCTTTACGGAACCTCCGGACTAAACGTCTATTTACGGTTGTTTTGGTTTAAGGCGACGGCTTGACTTCAAGCAGTAGTGTTCTCTTTCGCTGCCGACGAGCACCGTTTAATGCAGCAGCAGCGAGCCGGCAGAGGAGTCAGATGGAGGAGAAGTGCTCGGGTAGCCCTAGCAGTATCACAACCAGAATACGCCATTTGGCATAAACACCACGCGGAGTTCCGAGAGGAGGCTTGTGCATTGCGACTTGCAGGGTATAGGCAAACCCAGCATGTGCAATTATCAAGTTACTCGAGCTTGTGTGCAGATGCCATAGAGTCGAAGCAGTTCGCTCCTCCATCGTTATGTTCGGGTGAGGCTGCTGTTGTGCCCAATGTGGGATGCTGGTGGAAGCGTGCGCGTGCAAACTTAACAGTGCTCAGCGCTTTGCAAAGGTGCAGTCTGCTGCGGGGGTCCATGCGCCAGGGTATGTGTTCACTCACAGGGTCATCACGAATGTGCCCCTTCCCTTCGGATGAGAGCCGCGTCAGAACTGAGAACCCGAAAACCAGTGGCAAGCAATTCAACCCTGTGGTGCGAATGCGGCATTCAGTATCACTATTGTGGTCATAACAAGAATTGCACAAGCGACTTCTGTTAGTTGGAGTTGAGCCCGAAATCATTGAAGTCAACCCCACTAGCCCTGAGTTACAATGTCCCCCTGCCCCGTCCCAGAGGCGGCCCCCGGCGCGGTTCCGATAGAGGCACCGCCACAGTTGACTCCTAAGCTGCCATTGCCTCAGCTACTTTGGCTGTATGTGCATTGGGTTGGCACAAGTCGACAAGTCGTATCGCCCCAATCTCAAACTGTCAGTGAATTCGGGGATTAGGTTAAGAAGAGGAATCGCCACAGGGGCTTAGGATTAAGGGTTACGGCGTCGTTATGTCGAGTGCGTATCCTGGGGAGTGGAGTGCTTGTGTGCTAACGTTTTCGGGCCTCGGCTGAAGAAGCAACGCTGGCAGTCATCAAGTCCGGTTTCAAAAGGATTATGGGGACCCACGGCCTTGTACCATGGAGGTAGGAACACTTACTCAATTTCTACCCTGGTAGCCCCTAAACCAAAGTATCCGAGTTGTAAGATCCTTGTTAGGGTCACTTACTTAAACTAAGTTGCTGTAGAGGCGCTAGAAGTACAAGGAGCCGAGTAAACAGAAGAAGTTGAGTTACAACATCCCCTTGGTAGGGGGGGAGGGGGTCGTGGTCGTCTGAGGGTGGACTTGGATCAGATGCCTGGTGAAACAGTGGCATCGGGGATCGAGCATCGCGCAGTGCCTGCAGTCTTGTTCAGGATATGGGTGCCGGTCAACCCCTTGATCGCCCATGCCTCAGTGGGCTTACTCGGCCTGTTCTCGTTTGGTGCCCTCCATGGGTGAAGGAGAGTGCTTACAAATTGGCTAGCAGTTTTTGTTTCCCGTTGGATGTATGTGGAAGTTTTTGCCTTGACGAATGTTCGGACTGTTGCCAGTGACAGAGGCAGATTGGAGGACAGTGTGATTTTCAGCCAGTAAGAATCCCGCTGTTGTCTGCAACGTCGCTTTCTTCGCATGAGGTCATGCGGTTTAACTCTGCAAAAAGGGGGTGAGGAAGTCAGGCGATGCCCGAATACACCACAGACCGGAAACCGGAAACAGTCGCCTTACTGGCCCAGTGTTCCTGGCCCAGCAAGGCTGGAAGTAGCCTGTATCCCTTTTCAGCCCTGAAGCCGTCAACCCTCAGAGGCACCTCCCTTTGAAGTGGTGCCGAACTTCACGGCTTGGCACTCGCAGTGGCTGCAGGCTGCCGCTGGCAATGCTACATACTGGATGATAAACGAAAAGTATCAATTGGACAGAGTGTTCGTGCTGCCAAGAATTGGTGAACACAGGAGTCTCTGCATGGTTGCAGGCTTAGCTAGAAAAGGCAAACAGGCTGAGTAGACAGCCAGATGCACACACACACACAAGGAGGATTCTTCCCATGAGATAACTAGCTCAAGACAGGATGAACAATATGGCGGCGGTACTGGTAGCGAGGGCAGTAATTATGAGTTCGCTTGTGGCGGAATACCGATTGTGTAACAACGGAGTGACCACGACAACGACGGCGACAACGACGACGGTGGCAATCAGAGCAGCAGCATTACAGTACTGGTCATGAGCGCGTTCATCAATGGCAACGGGCGGGGTTCTTTTGTGTTCAATCAATACGACGGGTAACACAGTTTTCGATGCCGTCACTCTACGAAGGTAAGTTTCTGGCGCCTGGCTTGCTATATTGTGTCAGGAAGATCTTGAAAACTCCCGCAAGGCCCCACTTCCATTTTGTGCAGGTTGATAAGTGGTCGTGATTGTGTGGTTTTGGCTTGTGGCCACATCTTACTCTAGATCTTGCGCCCTGTCGGACTCAACCCACCAAAATGCATCTACAGTTTATCAGGCAGTGACCGAGCGTGAGAGCATTACAAGAACCAGACTTAAACGGCCCCAACTCCGCCCGCAGGCGGTGGAGTCCAAAGCGTCTTCAGGAGATGCCGCTGCCAGTAGCAGCCAGGGAGCACTGAGCTAAAGCAGCATCTCATCTATGAAGTAGTGGAGGGCGGCCGACCCACACCTCAACCCTGTAGGGTATTCGCAATTGCTTCACTCCGGTCTTGCTATAGTTACTTTGCCTATCACCGTCGTTTATGCTGTTCCTCTCCCTGCATCTCACTGCCGCAGGCGCTCCTGATGCAGCAGCGCAAAAATCTTCTGTGTGCCAACAGTTGAAGATTCACAAACCTTAGACCACGAAGCCTTGCTCTTTCATCGTCCCATCCACAGGACGCACAGCTGCCGAGCCAGAAGCGGTCGGTCGCTTGAGACACCGCCCAAAACCCATAAATGTCTTTGGATCTGAGCTGCCCCGGGCTTCGGGGGGGATTCGGTGTGGGCGCCGTGAATATGGCAGAAGTCGTTTTCAGAATTGCTTCCGGAGTGTTAGCACTGTAATGAGTTTAATGCCTGTAGCTAGAAATGACGGTGCTATAGTCAATAGTCCCCAACATGCTCGAAGCAATAAAGGCAAGGCACAGTCACATGGCGGTAGTAGTAAGAGGCAAGACCAGCTATCAGGCTAACAACTAGAAGACTACCGGAACGTGGGCCAGCAAACGGCGTGGGCATTGTATCCTAGTGGTCCTTACCAATGAGAGCCACACGCTTCGCTGGCGCCGAAAGGGATCCTGAGTTAAACAGCTTCCCATGTGTCATGGGAAGTTTGAGAAGCTCGACATTGAAGCTGAGGTCGAAACAGACGGTGAGGCAGGGCCGCAGAGTGAGGTCCTGAGGGCTTTAGGCTTTGGGATCCAGGGCTTTAGCCTTCTTCAAACCATCTGTGACCAAGTATACCTTTAAAGAGCCCTGTTGGGTTCACGAGCGAAGATGGGGTTTACAGGTGAGGTCAAAGGGTGTTAAACCCCGGAAGTGGCCCAGACCAACCCGAGCTTGGTAAGTTTTACCCGGGTTTGTCGGACATTGCGTCTTGAAGCAACAGCAGCAGACACAGAAGCCGTATTCTGAGTTGTAGTGGTGGCCGCAAAAGCTGTGCGGGTGTAGCATGCCAGGCAATATGGTGGCTTGCACAGTGCTCCTTGGCCAGTGCCTCTGCCATCATGGAAGAGTGCGCCACTCAGAGCCTGAGAATAGAACCCTATAGTACCCTTAAGGGGAACCTTATGATTTGTACCCTTAAGCCACACAAACCGCCGCAAAGTGTGAAGAAACCGACCATCTCGAGCATGCCTCGCCTGGAGTGTCCGAGCCACTGTCACAGTGCCGAATCAGGGGCCTGTATTCGGGCTCGGAGGGTTTGTGTGGGTCGTGGGGTCTGATGTGGGGATTCAGGGCATCCTTGGGAGACCTGTCGTGACAGCTGACCTCAAGAGGCTGGTTTGAAAAGCCGAGTTTAGTCGCGGCCATGCTTTCGGATCGCTTTTCTGAATCCTTCTGCTACGATCATGAGTATTGTCCGGTCGTGAGTGACTAATAGCCCAAGCCCACTAAGTGCCGCGCGATCCAAACGATAATCCCTGGTAGAACCTCCTGCCACCAAACAGTGTTCTGCTGCATAGCGTCGCCGTAGCCCACGCCCCTGCATGAGCATCATTCCTTGCGAAACATGGTTGGTGATACTGTTCCTGGGACAGGTTTCAACGTCCTGTTGAAGACTGCTGTGATGTCATTGTATATACAGAAAGATGTACACACTGTAAGATATATCACTAGGTAAACAGGATGCATACATGCATACATGCATACATACACACACACACACGCATGTATATATATATATGTATGCATACATACATATATATATATATGTATGTATATATATATATAAATAAATATTTGTATACACATAGATCTACATGCAACCGCTTGAAGTCTTCAAGTTGTTCTGGAACAAAACTAACAACAGCATAAACTGGAAAATCCAAGTGTTCAATGCTATCGTCCGCTCCAAGTTACTCTATGGGATAGAATTGTGCAGCTAACTAAGGCCGAACTTTCTGCCCTAAATGCTTTCCAGAGCAAATCGTTGAGAAAATCTGTGCACATCCCCGCCTACATTCATAGACAGAGAACAGACCAACGCTAGCATGTATGCTAAAATACGAAACGAGTATGGATGTTCTTTTGAGCACGAGGCAAAGTTCAGACTTTTTGGACACGCATTGCGAGCCAGCCCAGCGGATCCTCTAATTCAAAGTACTTTCAAAACAGACGGATTGACACGGCAGGCCCAAAGCAGATTGGACCACCGAAGCTGATTATAAAGATGCATTTAGAATACTGCATGGAGATTCTAACGCTTTTGTACTCATTGCAGCGCTATGATCTTGAAGGAAATGTATCCTCTTTGACTGCTGCACTTGTCTCACTGTCCTAGTGTACCTCCTATTCGTGCGTTGCATTCTCACTAGCCTGTTGGGAGCCCTTCTGCGCCCGACAGAAAAACACACAGATCTAGATGTATACAAGTATGTACATGAATATCTACATGCATGCACACGTGTATGCATACAGGTTATATGGCTATAGCAAGGCCAAGTTCCCAAAGTGCTGGAAGCCTCAAGCCTGATGCGCTGAGCATGCAGGCAGGGTTATGCGCTTTTGCATCTCGAGTGCCAGCCTTGGTGTTTATGTCTTGTTGTTGCTTCTTGTTGATAGGCGGGGTTCAGTTTAGCGTCGGAATTCTGACTCGGATGGGCTCACGGGGAAGAGTTTGAGCGGCGCACCGCAAGGTTTCAAACGGATGGGTGTAGTGTAGGTCTGAATGTCGTCCGGTCAGTGTTGCGACCTGACAAACCTTTGGATCCTCTTTCATGTAGCATTTACCCATTAGGGCTGGTAGGTTTCCAACTCTCGCTGCGCTTACTGCGTTTCTGGTATCACTAGACTACAAGTGTCCCGGTTGCTGTTAGATTCCTCCCGAGACGAAGCATTAGCTTTGCAGCTAGACCCGATTAATTATGCAAGTGCTGCTGGGGGCAAGAATGAGGTGGCATCACTTCTTCTCGACGCCGTTTCAACGAGAAAGCACTTGTTTACATGCCATGTTTTGTTCAACAGTTGCCGCCACTTGCCCTGTTTCCGAAGCCTTGACCCTTACGCAGATCCGAAGGCCTCCACTAGTTGTTTGAGCTGGTTTGCTCCCCCATACCTGCAAAGCCGAAGGCTTCATTAACGCTACGTATGTTTCCCTGCGTTTAGTTATTGCGCGAGTGACAACCCTGCCCGAGGCACACCTTCGCCGTTTTCGTGCCGTGCTCAGAGTTGTCCACAGTTCTCCGTCACTGTGCTGCCAGGAACGAGCAAAGGCGAGAACCACTCGGTCACAGTTCTGGTCAGGGCAACAAATAATCAGACGAACAAGAACAGAAAATTGTCATGTGTGCTGGCATTCACCAAGTGCATTGCCACAAAAAAGAGCGGCAATCATTCGCCATGGCCCATGGCATCACAGCTTACTCTGAGTCCTTGGGCTCTACAACAGATGCCAACCCTCGTTCAAGCAAGGTCCTGAAAGCCGCGTGGACTGCGGCTGCTACCTCGGCGAAGACTCGAGCATTCATGTGATCATGTGCAACGTGCACTTCTGGCTTTGGGTTGAGAGCTCAGAGGCGATGGGTTCGTGGATATTTTTTGCGTTGAGGTAGCCGTGCTTCTACAAGCATCTCAGAAGGTACAGGGCCCTTTCAGGATTTATGGCCAGCTCTGATTTGGATTCCGGGTCGTGTTGGATCATGTCGCCAGCTTGTGAACCCAACCTCATCTGACCGGGTCCGACGAGATAGTTGCAAGTTGCCCCATAAAACCACACCGTATTGGCCCGAGATGTAGCCATGCTCGCGGTGGGTGACCGTGTGCGAGTTCATGGCAAGGACAGCCCAGAAGCCAGGAAGCGTTGCGCTTGGGACGGTCCGATGAAACCGCCTTTGCGCCTGGCGAGAGGGTCGGCCTTTTTCGCTCAACCGACAGGTTGGCAAACAATGGCAGCAGGATGTGCTTCGAGTGTGAAGTAGCCAGGGCACGGGCTTTTTCCTTCGCCCACAATTCTTGACCAAAGTCTCCGAATCCACACCTTCCTTAGTCGCAGCTGTCGAGACAGCCCGATCTGAGTTCGCCCGGGAAAAGGATGCGGCGCACAGACTTCTGGGCTGTGACGGCGGTGGATCTGAAGACGTCTTCAGACACCATGCAGGTGCGACTGCAGCAACTTGAAAAGAAGGTTCAGCACTTGGGCGAGCATTTGGATGCTTCCAAATGCTCGCCCAAGTGCTGACGAATGATGCTCCAAAGTTGAGGAAGTGGCAGCCCGCATTCGCGCCACGGTGGGGGCCAGTGCAGCCAGCAGCAAGGAGGAACCGCCGGGCATCGGCCTCAAGAGCGCGACCCAAGCCGAATAGACAAGTCCCAAGAAGGACCACTTGGAGGGTCGGGGGACTTAGTAATTAGTTATTTTATAGACTTATTAAGTATCATAACCCCAATTAGGGTCCCTTTTAGGGTACTTATAAGTCTACTTATTACCTACTTACTAAGTCCGCCGACCCTCTAAGCAGGGACCGCAAACTCTCCGTGAGAAGTTTGGCCTCACGGACACGAAGTACGATGCAGTGATCGCGGCACTGCAACAAGAGAAGGATGAAGAATCCAAGTATGCAGTGGCACTGGAATTTCCAGGAAGAGAAACAACCTTAGCGACCTATCAGACACCCAGCAAAAGCCTCGAACAGTACCATGGCCTGGAAGTCTTCTTGCTGGTGAGCCTAAGGCTCGCAGCATCAAGGCGAATGTTTCAATTTGCAAAAAGCACAAGCACCACTTCTTCAGCCTAGTTGAACGGGTCGCGAAAGAGACCGGACCACTTTCTTCAATCCAGATTTGAAAGGCCAAGCTCGCCAAAGCCAAGTTCTACGTGGACAGCGCTGGCGAGCTGTCCATGTACTTGAACTTGGCTTTGGATACACCGCGAGCTTGGCCTTTCAAATCTGGACCGACATCGTGCGTGACACGCTGAGCTACGCGAACTTGACGGATATGTACAAAGGACTCTAGCTCATCGAAAAGGACAAAGGCGTTTCAATCGTGGAGTTCAACGACCGGTATCAAGCTCCATTGGATGGTGGATATCGCGACCTGCAGCTCGCAGTTCGGGTGCCAGGTGGTTTAATCTGCCACCTTCAATTGGCCACGAAATACATGCTCTTCACGAAGGAGTCCAGCGGCCACAGGGCCTTCGGCACTTACGTCGGAAACGCGTTGCCTCTTGATCTCGAACGAGATCAAGAGGGAACGCGTTTCCGACGTAAGTGCCGACGACGATCTCGGATGTCGAAACACATTGGAGTGGGCCAAGAAAGATGCCGAGTCAGTGCTTCGTGTGCCGAATGAGAACGTCGACCCGTTGCTCCACAAGGCGGCCGCACAGGGCAACTCCGATATGCTGCAGCGCTTCAAACAAAATCGTGCGAATGTGAACCTCCAGGAAAAGACTACTGAGCGCACAGCCCTGCACGAGGTGATGGACCAGGGCCATTTTTGCGCATCATGGGCCCTGATCTCAGCGGAAGCTCGACAAGACTTACCGTACGTCTTGTCGAGCTTCCGCTGAGATGAGGGCCTATGCTGAGCAAAAATCGAAGCTGCGAAGGGGCAGACGGCCTTCTTGCTCGGACTCTTTGCGGCAGCATGTGCGTCCAGAAAGCCAAACCATGGCAAGGTGCGTCTCCATGTCATGGACACGCACCTCGCCATGGTTGGGTGTGAAGGAACTTCGATCGGCCAAAGAGAATTTCCAGCGCATTGTGGAACAGCGGTGGAAGAACGGTTCCGAACTGGTAACAATGGCCTTCGATGGCAACGAGGAAAGGGTCGTTGAACTGCTGTCGCCTTGCACATGGCGTTGGCTCAAGGCCACACTTCCGTCGTAAGGCATCTGCTGATCTTCACTTGCAGGCACTTGGCTGAAGGAGGAGGTGAGCAGCAAGAATGCCCGGCCTGGACATCACCATCGAACTGGCAAATGCAAATAAACCCGACTGTCTCAGGCTCCTGATCCACCTCCGCGAGCAGTACTCAGCACACGGATTACGAAAGTTCTGCGGACTTGACATTTCTGAGGGTCGGTGATGAAGCATGGCAAAGCAGGCCATGTCGAGTTTCTCGTCCACAATATGGCGACAAAGCATGAGATCGCCAACGACGTTCCTGCTGCTTTTCGTTTCCTGGAGCAGCAGGAGGAGACAAGTCCCAAGACGTGAGAGGTTCGGCCTCGGCGACACGAAGTGCGACGAAAAGATCCAACTACTGGGGAGGCTGCGTGGAGGTGCGCCTCCATGCTGTCGCAGTCCTTGGGCGTGGCGGAGCTACGATGCGCCATCGAGGAGCTCGATGAGGAGGTTCAAGAAATGATTCAAGAAAAGCTCAGGAACAGCTTGGAGATCGTCTCTGCGGCCTACGACGGTAATGCGCAGAAGGTCGTCGAACTATTGTGCAACTGGGCGAATCCCAACAGTGCCAACCACAACGGGAAACATGCGCTCCACTGCGCACTGGCTCATGGCCACACCGCTATGGCCAGGCAGCTGCTGACGTACAGTTGTAGGTGAGCAGCTGCCTGGCCATTGCTTAAGGCCGACATTTGGCTGAAGGAGAGTCACGACAAGACTGCTTTCGACGTCGCTCTGGAAGTTGCAGCCTGCAACTTCCAAAGCGACGTCCAAAGCATTCTTGTCGTGACTCTCCTTCAGCCAGATGTCGGCCTTAAGCCATGGCAGCGCAGAAGCCCGTTTCTCTCGACCTCTTGCTCGAACTTTGTCACGACCAGTTCAAGGACTACAGAAACAATGCAGGCTTGACGCTGCTGATGTTGTTGCTGAGGCATGGGCAAATTCGGGACCTCATCAAGCGGCTGCTCCACATGGGAAGCCTTTGCGCACATGGTAGAGACAACAACTACAACTCTCTTAACATAGTCTGGTGGAGTCGCGATGGTCCTCCTCCGAGACCTTATAGCAGAAACGCCCGGATTAGTTAGTGAATAGCAGCCCCTTATTTCAGTATTTGCCTTCGACGATTCAGCGTATCGTCTTTCGGAGGCCCAGGTCACTGAAGCGAGTCAGGTGAAAACATGTAATTACTAGCAGGAGCATTCTTCTGTTTCTATGGGTTTTCGAAGGTGTTTGGATTCCTGGCTGTTGCTTTATCCTCGGGTGCTGTTGGTGGTACATTGCTCCTACATGTTGCAGCAGCAAACGTGAGACCTACTGCCTCAGGAAGCCGCGCCTTCCTTGTGTGAGTGCGCGTGTCGAAACTCGAAGGCCCCCCCAGAACTAACCGAGTAGGTTTACCCTAAACCCTGAAACCTGAAACCGGAAACCCTAAACCCTACACACCCTTAGGGTCAGTTGAATCGAACACAAGACGAGCAAGAGGTCTCGAAGCTGCTGCGCCCCATCTCGGTGCCGGCTTCAACTGCAGGTGCGGCCTCCTCCAATATCTTGGGAGGTGTAGGTATATGGGAGTTTCCGAAAACAAGGGGGGTACGTTATTTTGGGGTCCTTATGATAAGGATCCTACTATTTAGGGTATCAGACAACTAGGGTTCTTCCAGACAGTTGCTTCAGTCATAATTGCTTGATATTGCTTGTACCCACATTAAACAGTACTTATGGGCCTACGCAACACTACGCGAAGTTATAAAGGGAGATGTACAGTGCGTGGGTCGGGTTGTCTTGAACGATGTCCTGGCGGGACGTTCTTGAAACATTACCGACGAAAAGCCTACGTGCTGCATCTAGTTTTGGTGCAATGCCAGCACTCTAGACATGACCTACATGAGCCTTAATGCATTCCATATAGTAGCTCGTGCAACAACGGACAGAGATCCTTGTGGATTCTCGACATGAGCTTCTGCCTGCATGCGCTCGTATGCCATTTTCAGTCAGTGTGACTGGACAATTCGGCATCTCCGACGTATCTCAGCAGTTTCATTCCTCGAATGCTTGGCATGCTCTCATCTGCAGTCCTGATTGTACAAGGCCAAGAGCTGTGTCCTAGTCCCTGAGAATCCAAGCCTCACTCTGTGCCACCACTCTGTTCTGTAACCCTACTTAAAGGATCATGGGACTTAGCAACTGAGGTTATAAACAAGGCAGGTAACTATACTTATAACCCCAATTCGGGTACTTATAACCCTACTTACTAAGTCCCAAGATCCTCCAAGTACTTGGCCTCGAGCCTGCCAGCTCCAGGTTCTTCGGGTGAAGTTGGCTCATCGGGGCTCCGCAGCGTGGAGCCACTGGCTTGGCCTTTGCAAGCCATCTTTCCCCCTTTCCTCGGTTAGGCCATTGGGACTATTGATGCTTTCCGGTTTATATAAGAGGATCTTAGTTACGAGTATTATTGGTGGGATTGCAGCACCAACCAAGCTAGGGTTCTGAGGGTCGTTTCGTTTTGTTGTTACGTTAAGGCGCGGCCCCTTCTTTTCTCAGTTGCCTGTTTTTGTCAGAAACGCTTAGATGATTGTGATGTATCTGGTTTCCAAGTCCTGTGCTTCTGCCAACAGCTATTGCAGGAGATGGCACGATCCGCCTGACTCTCTATCATCCTTTATCTTGTTGTTCCGATGTTTTCTCAAAAGCGATGAAGAAGAAGTCCTGGGAGATCCAGCGCGGCAGTCAAGGTTAAAGGCTTTGGCAGTGTTGCCTGGAAGCCTCCGAACAACCACAAACAGCATCATCAAGGGGTTTATCTGGCTCCAGAGGGGGTTCCCACGGGTTCGTGTTGGGGCCCTTCGTTAAACTGCAAAGTCTGACCGCCATACCTCCAAGCCGCAACTGATCGGAGGCCTGGGGCTGTGTCCTTGTACGACCACTGGCTGAAAGGCATCCGAGCTTGGGTTTAGGGCTCAGGGTTCGAAGGCTTTTTTGTTAGGCTTTTGTAGCGAACTGCCCGAAGGCTGGTGCTTGCCTGAAGAGTTCTGGCGATGTTGGCATCGTTCCAAGTGGGCTTAGCCCCAGCTTGTCAAAGTTTTACGGCTAAGGTTGCAACTGGAAACCGTGGACTAAGGTCCCTATAACCACATTTACAGCGACCCCGCGGCACTAGCTGTTGCAAGTTCCTTCACGTTCGCAACGGCTTCCTTGGCTCCTGGTCTGTGCACCTCAAGAAATTAGGGCACACGGTAGATGGTGCATGTCAACCTGGGCATCCATGTGGGCCATTATCTGCTTGTATGCTGCCGCATGCAGTATGTGTGCACAGGAGACTGCACTGTGCTATGCAGACTGGTATGCTAGATCGTACGTAATTAGACACCCAGCTGAGGTCAAGCCGCAACCGCTTGGAAGGGTGTCTAGCTTCGTCCAGCATGTTGTATTCGCGTATACCTGGGACGGGCGAACGCGTCGAGTGTGAATTACAAGCAGGAATCCCAACAGGGACGCGTTCCACAAGAGCACTTCGTAAAACAGGCGAGCAGGGCATCATGCGTGGGATGTCAGGTTGGCACTGCTCTGCTGCTACACCTGGTCTGTTTGGCTTGAAAACCGTTTGGGCCCCGGCAGGGATGCTAAAGTCCTTGAGGCTTAAGGTCAGGTGCCACAATGATGGGGAATGTCGGCGCAGCCAACCCTAAACCCCACATTGACATAGTTTCGAGGGTGCAAACACGCCATGAGACGCACGATTCCGTTCACGACTAGCTTGCGAACTTAAGCTGAGGTCCGTGGGGCCGCAGAGCTTGCAGCCCTGCAGAATCGAAGTCTGCCCGCGTCTCTGGCATGAAGTTAATTTTGCAGGAGGTTCCTCTGGGATCTGGTGACTTCGGGCACGGCGTAGTGTATAGAGCAGCTCTTCATGTAGAAGGCTGCTGCGAGGACAACCGACAGGCTCCCTCAGATGAGATTGTTCAACATCAGCCGCCCCTTTTCAATCGGGATCCACGTTTTCGGGGCCATCGGTGAGATCCAAGGTTCCATTCCTTGAACGCATCCCCCACCCCTAGATTAATTCCGGCTGTGTTTGCCTGTTGGGGGCCGCATCGGGCCTGGCGGGTCTGTGAGGCTCGATCACGAAATCCGTGCATACAAGCACAGCTGCACTCTCGGCAGATAACCGCTGCCAACGTCGAGCACACCACGTGTCGCGATAGTGGGGTCCCTAAAGAACTCACATCCAGAAGCTTTAGGAATCAGCACAAGGCGTTGGCGTGTATCCAGATACCGACCTCCCAACAGAAGGCGACACCAAGTGGACAGGCTTCCCCAGGTCGCACCCTCCAAGCATGTCCTTCAGATTCAGCGAGCCAGGCGAAAATTCAGAGGGACGCGCTGTGCCAATTCATCACCACCCACCGGCTTCCTTTGGTGGTAGGCACCTTAGAGTCATGGCTCCATGACGAGTTGATCGTGGAACGGCCAGTGCAATTCTAAGCCTTGACAGCACATGGGTTTCTGTCATGATGGCTAACTCAAAGCAGCAAAATCCAAAGCTTCAGAGTTTTGAGCTCCGATTCTGATGAGGCTATCATAGGCTATCGAAGAACCCCTGCCTTCGAACGGATTAGGAGAGAGGATTGAGCTTGAGTGTCCTGGTTCAGAAATAGCCTGCAGCAGATACTTTCCGGGAACCGTGTCCTTTGGGAAGACTCACGGCTAACAGCGTGAACGCTGCCCCATGCCTTCTCTTTGCCGATGGCTGTGCGGCAGGCTGTATGAAGTAACAGGCTCTTAGGGGCTACTCCTTGAACCTTTTGGGGCTTATATAATCCTACTACTGTATAATTCAAAAGGTTAACCTTTTTTGGGCTAGGGTACTCAGCCCCTAAGGGCTAGACGCACCGCTGTAGTTCCGAACCCTGTGCAAGACCAGCCTGTCGGGTCTGCGATTTCTGAGGAATGGAACACCATTTGCGACAAGGACGGCCCTAGCAGCTACCAGGTCATAATGTGTTGTGTCAGGTTGTGTGGAAGTCTTACAGGCCTAAGGAGAGGTTTGGTGATTAGGTTGCCTAGCACCAGTCATATGATGATGATGATGATGATGATGATGATGATGACTTGAGTCCGCGAAAGTGCGTGACATGTGTGAAGGTAAGCCAGTCCGTGTCACGGCAAGAGACAGAAGAAGCGCAGTAGAACCATCTAGTATTCTGATAGCAACGGAACTACAAAGCATGTTTTGGCACAGCTTGCGGCTTTGTTTAGAAACTTTTTGGTGATGCAGAGGAATCGAAGCTTTCCACCGAAGTTGCTGCAGTTCGTGCTTTCCCTCTGCTGCAATAAAGAGCCGGCAAACAGTACCCCTTTTAAAGAAACCACCCGAAAGAACGTGCCAGAGGCGGAGGCGCCCTTACCACAGCCTTGGCGATCCTGGGAGCTCCAGGCACCTCCGTCGCGTGGAGCTGCACAAGCTTTTTTTTGCATTTCCGAGGTTCCACCATCCACTAGATCCGGCTCTGGCTACCACTAGCATTGTGATTCATCAATCCTCCTGGGTTGTTTCCTCATATTCACTTGGGCCTGTTTGCTGGTGGCAGGATCCGCTCGACGAGCCCGGAAAGGCCTATATTCTGAAGTGCCGTTCCCGGAAAGGTCTGGGCAGTTGAGGGGACTCCAAAGTGGGGCTTCTCTGCCGCGATTCTCGTGGTTGCACCAGAGGAGCGACGTTTGCCAAATGCTCCAACGATGTTTGGTTTGTTCTGGAAGCTGTGACAAAACCCTTGCAGGCAGTTGTGCTGGGATCATATCATCCTGTCACCTCTGGGCCTTGGGTCCAGCGGAGGGCAACTACTGTCCCCAAATCTAGCCCTTGAGTGGAGAGCTCACTTCCCTTTGGCTGTAGCTTGCAGATTGCAAGGTTGGCATCTGGCAGGCAAAGATCGGGCTCAACTACTGTAGCGGCGCATGTTTCGCGCTGAAAGAAGACAACCCTAGACCTTGTCAGCTGGGCGGGTGGGAAAAACCCTAAAACGGTTGAGACCTCTAGGAGTATGTGTGATTAATTTGCACGCCCGCATCGAAAGTTTGTTTCACTGGCATTCAGACCTCGAACCACATGCCCCGCCTGGAGTGTCGGAGTGTGAGCGCCGAAACCGTGGACATCCTGAGTCAAAAGTGTCAGACCAAGGTCCTCCGGCCATGGCCGCTGTTTGTCGCACTTAGGCCCGCTTAGCTCAGGGTCTTCGGATCTCGGTTCCTCCCGTGAATCTTTAGTTTATTTGGAGGTTGGGGTTTATAGGGTTTCGGACGGGTTTAGGGTCAGGGGAGGGAGCTTCCCTCCCGGTTGAAGCAGCCTCAACAGCTTGGGAGACTGTCATGCCGCCTGCAGGCTTTTGCGAATGCTTCCCGCCTTACCGGGGGAGGTTCTGCGAAAATGTGGAGCCTGGCAAGAAGGCCGTCGTAGTGGGATGCCGCCGATGCCATAATGGCACTAGGCTTTCTGGCAGGAAGCATGGAGTGTGGATCGAGATGTGGTTTCCTTGTCAACCTTCGAACTTTCGGGGCAGCGTCCGTTCATGCACCGTACCTAGAATGTTTAACGTTCAGGCGCCAGTGCCACTCTAGCATACAGAGGCTCTGGAGCCCAAACGTTATCTGATTATACTCATCATGGTTCTGGACTTGTGTCCGGGCTGCACACAGCGAGTACCTCCGAGGAAGGACGTCTCAGGAGACTTCGGGTACACTGGCCGTGCTTGCACATGGCCCACATGCCATGTGAACCCGGAAGGGCACCAACTGTTGAAACAGGCTTCGGTGCTTCCGCATCGACCCTTGGCTGCTTCATGTGCAGAGCGCTCTTGTCGCCAGGAAGGTTTTCTACACTCAAAAGGTTGAAGTCAAGTGAGCCACAGCGACTTCGACCCTGAAACAGGATGAGCACTCTGAAACCCCACACATATATATCCAGTAGCAAGTTTCGAAGTTGAGGCTTTAACGCCTGCGGCGTATCGCGTGAATCCTCTGTCGGAGTCCTGTCTCTCACCCCCATTGCCATGAACGGGAATGGCAGCATACCTAGAACCTGCGGTATGCTGTGATTCGTTTGAATCAAGGAGCGGTATCATTTTGGAAGGGGCTAGTATGGGCTAGTGGGAGCCGTGCCACAGATACTGTTTTGATTATTGACAACCGGTGCCTATGAGCCTGCTGATACCGAAGAAACAATCTGGTGGGTCTGCTGGCTCGTTCCTTTTCGTCGACGGGTTGCCAGGGTCCGAAGTATTCGTGATGTCAGGGCATTTAGTTGTTGGTTGAAGCTGGCCTGGACTCCAGATTGTTGGCACTAGTGATGATTTTTCACTTTGCCGGCTATGAATCATGAACCTCATCTGATGGCGACACCAAATGTTCGCACAAAACAAGCGTAAGTAGTCCTGGCCAGGACGGCTCGCGAAAGTACCGAGCTGTGCTGCACTACCTGGTGGGCCAGATGCCCAGGTTTTTGTATATTTTTGTTTTGCCGGCTCGCTTTGGGGCGGTTCTTGCTCTCTTGAACCTACGGATCTGGCTTGAAGTTAAAAACCCTGGCGGTTTATGCCGCAGAAGCAAGCCACAGTCATGTCGTCGTCTGTTGACGCGCTGGCACCTGCAACCACCACTGTTGCGACAACGAGTACCGCAATGCTACCACCACGACTGCCAATGCCACCACCACTACCCGCCGAGTTCTTGTGTATTTGCCTATGCTGAACACAGTGGGCGGCCCTTCGGCCGAAACAGGAGACAGGGAGAAGCTGCTGGCCGATTTCGAGCGAACTTTGCCGATCCTTTGGGAGAGGCACGATACCGGACCCTTGCCACGGCAGTCAGTTGCAGTTGTTTCCATTGCAAAACAGTCAAAGTCGAGACTCTTCAAGACGCTGCATGACCTATCCGTAGCCAGATGTCCCATCGGGCGGGATGTACTTCAGTGCTGTTGGTGTTGTATGTCCGGTAGACACTTGTACAGTAGAAGAAAGCTAGATTCAGATCAGAAGGCGATCGCAGATTGCTGTGAAAGTCCAGTCCAGCGGCTAGTGACATGAGGCATCACAGCTCCTGCTGTCGACATTTCGACCTTGGTGTTCTTGCGTGACGATGAAGAAGCAGCAGACTCTTGCATCCTTAGTTCTCTGACCACCCAAACCCGCTTGCTGGGTTTCGGGCACCCCCCGAAGTTCTCTTCTTTGGACCTCCAAGACCCGGAAGGTTCAACAACCGGGAAGACTACCCGGTTGTCGTTTTCCATGACGGCATGTCAAAAGCAAGCCCGGGCCTACAGAGAAGAAGGAACCGAATTCAGGTCTTGAGTTAACCAGTTCCTGGGTACCAGTACGGGCATGCCGCCTTGATTTAGCCGTAGGTTTGGTATCCAAGCGGTCCACTTTGCTCAAGGCGTCTTAAGGCCTTGTACTGCCACTGTTCTTCGAGATGGTGACATGTGCTATTGTAAGAGCTGTTGCAACCTCCCGGACGTGGATTCCTCCGACAACTAGTCATCATCAGAATCAGGCACGGGCCTCTAATGCGAGCCGACGCCAATCTGTTCTTGTTGTGATGGTGCTGCTGCTCTCGCTGCTGCTGGCGGTTGTGGTGTCGATGCTGGTGGCAGCCTAGTCTAGATGCATGGTGTGCTGGTGCCCGATGTAGGGCTGTGGGCATGAGATTGTGGGGCACCACGTGCAACAAGTTGAAATTCTGAGAGCAGGCCTGAAAGTTTGCAAGAGCAGCTAGAGGCGGACAGAAAACCATGCCTGAGAGTGACAAGTCTGTTCCGGTTCCCGGCGAAAGACTGTCCACGTCAGCAACGATAAATGCTTAGATGATCAGACAAAGTGCCAGGTAGCAACAGGTTTTTCATAGCATCCGCACAGGGCAGGTCACCAGATCTCTCTCTGTCTTTTCTATCATGTGCTTGTTGAACCCTTCGATCTTATTTCCATCACGAATGACTAAAGAAGGAACTCGAAACAAGAGATAAACTGTTTGGACCGACGTAGTGAGCAAACCCGCGCTGCAAGCACACCAACTCACTCCCATGACTCTCAATTTAGTGCCGCCTAGGTCGGAAACGAATTCTTGAGGCCACTGCTTCGTAATTCTAAGGGGTACAGCATATGGGGATTTTGATTGAGGGCATTTGCTCCGACTCTCCAAGCCCGGATGAAAAAAAAAGGGCATTTGCTCCGGAAGGGATCGAGCCGCAGCATGACATCATGACATCAACACTGGCTTGGGCTCTTCAGCGCGCAGGCCATGTCCTGAAGTGCAGGCAGAAATCAGGCAGCTCAAGACCTTACTGCTGTTACGTACATCATGAGGGTAGTTTTCTTAAGCAGGGTCACTTTCTGGTCCCCAATGTAGTACGGCACATCTATAAAAAGGAATACAAAGGGAATCCTGATTCAGCAAACTACCCATGTACACGTCCTGTCCTCCATAATTCCTTGGCTGGCTGCTCTGTAAGCACCTTTGCCGGGGTGCGTGATTCCCAGGTAGTATTAGGCAGACTCCTTACAGGAGGCCCTTCTTAACCCTACTTATGGCTCCCTGAAAAGGGACCTTACTGAGAGGGTCTACATCCCTGATCTAGGTGGGAGGCAAAAAACCCTAGACTAAACCCCCTAAACCCCTAAGCCCTAAACCCCTAAACCCTAACGCCTGATGGTGCGCACTAGCAAGTAGATCCTGCTCAGTATATGGTGCGTAATTGTTTTTTACCCGTTGTGGCTTCTTTGAGAATAAGATCACATGTTTGTACGAGGGCGCGTTTCACGGATCCTTCAAAGCCAAACTAGTTCTTGGTTGGTTGCGTTGTGGGTTCTAGACGAGTCGGCTTGTGAAGGAGGCTGCCAAACGGATGCAACGTTATGCTTGCGTACCTGTGTCTGGAGTTTCACACATCCTTCTTGACAGCAACATCGAAGTGAAGCCAACTTCGATGCCTTGTTAATGGGCCTACCGTGACAGTTTCGCTGCAGACCTTGCCAGGCTTGTCCGAGTGTCAGTGTCCAAGAAACTCCTAGTGATCCGAAGCCCGGGCCAGGCATCGTCGAACCGAATATGGCGCCCTCCTGAGCCGCCGGTTCGTTTTTGAAAATCGCCAATCCTGGGACCCGCAATGTTGAATTGAAGATTACGAAGAGCAAGATATCCCGCTCGGACCCACGCGATGCTTGCAGTTGTCCGTGGCATCACTTCAGGTTTGCCTATGTCGATGACTACAAGTCCGTCCCTGCAGTTTTGAAGGCACGTTTGTTAGACCACTGATTTCTTGATATTTGGAACAGATGAAATTGCATCTTCTGTCAGGTCCCACAGTCAGGGTTCCCGGGTTCTCACAAGGCGTACTGTACGGGTTCTTCTAGGGAGTCCCGTACAATTATACTGGATTGCTTGTGGAGTGCTATGAGGGGTGTTTTAGAAGTACGACAAGGGTTCCTACAAGAGGCACTAGGAGCGCTCCGTAAAGTCAGCATCTGCAGTCGACGAACCCAACCGCCACGTTTTGAGCACCATCCGAATCAGAATCGTAGTCGCCAATCAGAAGAACCTGATGAATGTTAGGGATCCATTTTACGTTTTTGTGGTTTGAGTTTCCTTAGAGAACCCATACACAAGGATCCACCTCTTTCCAAGTAGAGACGAAGAGAAGTGTTCTAACCCAGGGCCGGATCGAGCTTGACCTTGGTGGCTACGGGCTGGGCTACCGTGGCATGTGCCGGTTCAGGACCCTTGACTGAATCGGGGTTTAGGGCTTTGGGGTCGCAGGGTTTGGGTTTTGGGTTTAGGGTGCAGGAACCTTTGACGGAGTCGGGAAGGGCACGAGGTCTAGGCTGGAGGCTTTGGTTTGGTTGCCCTCAGACTCTACGCTCCTAAGCTCTGCATGCTCGTGTCCCAAGTTCGGCCGTCGTTTTGCGCGACTTTGGAGCCCAGCTGTCGTTGAAAACTTCTTTGGCCTTAGGGTACTGCTTGCTGTTTAGGGTGTAGGGTTTCCTTTCAGAGCCGTCTGGCAGATAGCTTGCCACGCACGGTCGTGGACACCGCATCAGTTGTGTGTTTTTTTGCTCGCTGTGGGAATTGAAAGAGGGTTGGCCTGCCATGCAAAGTTGCTGCACAGGTTGTGGAAGGCCTCCTTGTGGCTTTGTAGTCCAACGTGCGTGCATCAGAAGACTCTCCGGAGCATTCATACCGATGCTGTATCATGCTGTGGCACGGATTGGTACGTCATATCTGACGTTATCCTTCTTTTCTCATGACGGGACTGGTAGGCAGTCTGAACCCCCTCCATTCCAACGTCACACGGTCGCCGCCGCAGGTCCGGACCAATTTTTATGCAGCCTGTCATGAAAGGCTTTGACTATGCAGTCGGCCTCAGATACAAATGGCATCTCTCTCCATGGCAGTATGGAGGAATCAGACAAAGGTCGTGACCAGCACTGGCATGCAGTCTGACATCCGTCGTTCATGGCGCCAAGACAGCAAGACCGAGCCCCTGAAACCCTCAAGCCATTTCGGCTCTCATCGGTTCTTCGCACTACAGATACCAGCTTAGGACCACAAGTTCTGCGCAGACGCCATGGGAAACGCTTGCTCGGATGGTTGCTTCGGCATGTTGGGCAGCAAAAAGGTTTCGCAGCTCAAGGCCTGCAAGCAGGACCTCAAGAAGTTCATTGACAGCAAGAACTGTCATCCGATCATGGTGCGCTTGGCTTGGCATGACTCCGGAACCTACGATCAGCGCATCAAGGACTTCCCTGAGCGAGGTGGCGCCAATGGTGCGATCAGGTTTGACGGCGAGATGAACTTCGGTGCCAATGCCGGCCTGGACAAGGCAAAGGGCTTTCTCGATGAGTTTGCGAAAAAGTACCCCGAGATTTCCTGGGCTGACCTGATCCAGATGGCGTCTGCCGTTGCCATCGAATGTGCCGGTGGCCCTGCCATTGACATGAAGTACGGCCGAGTGGCAGTATGTTGCAACAACGACTGCGTGAAATCAGATTCGAGGGAGGGCTTCGGAGGCAATGCAGGGCTTCCCGACGCCAAGCCTCCCTTTGGCTGCGGGGCGCCGACGGCTGCACAGCATCTTCGCAATGTATTCACGAAGAAGATGGGCTTCACAGATCAGGAAATCGTGGCACTGTCTGGCGCCCACACCATCGGCCGCGCTTTCAAGGAGCGCAGTGGCACCTGCCCTTTCGGCTATGGTGAGCAGTCCGCATCGAAGTACACCAAGTCCGATTGCATAGCACGGAAGGATGGCAGCAAAGGTGTTGGAATGGTTGGCGGTGCTGCTTGGACGAAGAACTGGCTGACATTCGACAACAGCTATTTCAAGGACTACAAGCTTTCCGACCAGAACCTGCTTTGGTTCCCAACGGACGAGGCTCTTCACACAGATCCCGAGTTCAAGAAGTACTTCGAGCTCTATGCTAAGGACCAGGATGCCTTCTTCAAGGACTATGCCAAGGCCCACAAGAAGCTGAGTGAACTGGGCGCCAAGTTTGAGCCTGCGCAAGGCATTACGATTTAAGGCGCAGAGTTCCGAGGGGTGAAGAAGTTACGCACTCAGCGAAGCTGGGTTGGAAGAGCCTGATGTGCGTGGCTTTTGTGGCTCGAACCCACCTGACCAATACGCACACCTCCATCATCGTGCTTGTAGCAGTGCTCTCAGTTGTGTTTTGTTGCAGCCAGCATGTCGGCAAAGGCCTTCCGGAAAAGACTGGACTACTAGAGTCCACCCAGATGGGCGCTGGCTGCGCACATGTCGCTTATCGCTTCCCTCATTTTTCACATCGCAGCAGGCTGAGAGCTGTCTTCAAAGCATATCAGCTTCGTTCGAAATGGTTTGGAGCAGAAATCCTGTTGCCGTGAAGCTGTGAAGATAATGATGTTTTCGCTTGTGCTTTGGAGAAGGGCAGGCTGCAGATTTTGACAGACCGAAACCAAACTCGAAACCGTGCGCTACGCCAGCTCGTCATGGATAAAAGTTGCAGGCGCGAGACAACCGGCCGCTGTAACTCAAGGGTCTCAGGCGGTGAGCCGGCCTTCGTGTTGTCAGAGTTTGTCACTTTTGCACCACCAAGGCTTGGACTCTCGATACCGACGGTTACTTCCCAACGGACATCCTCTCCGATCCCTTGGAGCGGTCCGGTCTCCTAGTTGAGATTTGATAGCCATCATGACATGACTGTCGCTCATGCATTGGTTGTTGCCAGTTGTAGAAGTGGCAGCAGGAGCAGCCGCAGTGGCAGAAGTACTGCTACTGTACTACTACCACTACTACTACTACTACTACTACTACTACTACTACTACTACTACTAGTGCTACTACTACTGCTGCTACTACTACTACTACTACTGTACTACTACCGTACTATTACTACTACTGCTACTACTA